AACCAAACAGAGGAACTACAATGGAGACCATACGTATAATAAGATTAATTTAGGGGCCGAAATAAGTACCAATACGATTTTGGGGAGTTCCTTAGTATAAGTATTATAAAATGGGCCCCCAAACCCTGTTCTAATTGTTAAAGGCCCCTAGACTACTTCCAGCTTCTTGCGGATCCCCTGGGCCCCGTCCCCGAGAAAGGCGAATCCACTGTAAATTCCGAGCCCACTTTGGGGATCCAGACTTTGAGTCTGGCAAAATGTTCAATATGGGGGGTTTCCGAAAATAAGGGACCCTAATATAGTACCCCAAGTAGTAGGATCCGTAGTATAAGGGCCCCCAAGATAAGGTACCCCTTATTTGCGGAAACTCCCATATTTCTTAGCTTGTACTGTACGTCGAATTTCATATTTCACTGGGCCACGCTATTTCACGTGCCTGATCCGCCTCGGAATTATGTTACTACCACTGTGACTTCGTCCTGTTCTTGCGGCTATCCTTGCTTGCTGCTTTTCCAAAATTTCAAGCTTTTGGAAAACAAGCGGCACCAGTAAAGACCCCGAGTGCCCTCCCTACAGCACAAGGATTCTTACGAAATCCCCATCTAACGTACTGCCCCCCTCAAGCTTCCCTAAACCCTATAAACCCTAAACCCTTTCCAAATATGCCATTGAGCTCCTGGCATCTCCAGCAGCCCAAAGGAGCTGTGCCCCATCAGGGATGCGCAGTACTCCCCTTCCCTGGCACTGTTTTTGGGGCTCCTTGCTATGCTTAACAAGGATCCGATCGTTTCGAACAAGGGTTGGGGCTTGGAAGCACGGTTTAGGGCTGAGGGTTTAGTTTGATCTTGTCTTTTTCGCGGCCCAACCTCTTCCTCCCTCTAAAAACATATGGCTGGCGTCAACACGAGTCGCGGCCGGAACTCATCATGACACTACCGTGATAACTCTTGACCCGAGACATTAAACCTCGAACCCCTAATCCTAAGCCCCAAGCCCAACCTAAACCCTAAAACGCAAAAACCTTCAAACAACTCTAAAACCCTAAACCCAAAAAAAACTGAAAACCGACATCCCCAATTACCCCTGGAGGCCTGTAGGAGGCCAGGCGCGTGGTGACCAAATCCTGCCCCAGGCGACACAGCATACAAAGGGGCCACGGGGGAGACAAACCCAAGAACCCAATATCAAACACTCAAATGTAGGGGCACAAGTAATTACCTTATTGATTATAGTACAATAGGCCCCAAAACCCTATTCTAAGGCCCCTATATTAAACCCCCCACTCTGAAGAGGCTTCAGGGCGTAAGCCTCAAGCCGCTAAGGGTTTAGGGGTTTAGGGTTTAGGGTTTAGGGTTTAGGAGTTTAGGGTTTAGGGTTTGGGGGTTTAGGGTTTGGGGTTTGGTTTAGGGTTTCCCACGACCCCGAACCCGAAACCCATCGTGGCGGACTTCCGAAGTCGACGCCTGGAAGAGCGCCTTGAAGGTCACCTCGGAGCCAGATCATATCCCCAAAACAAACTGTGTATATACATGTATAAATATGTGACTTTCTATACATATGTACATATACACAGACAAATAGAAAACTAGATAGACAGATAGATAGATAGATAAATAGAACAGCACTGATAGTCTCTACATAGCTTTTATTTACACACATACGTATGCATATTCATATGTTCATATGTACACACACACACATACCCGCGCACACACACACACACACACGCACACACACCCAACGAGTTTTTGCCTGTCCGCTCTTTGTAGTAATGTGTACCCAGAGTGTCTTAAAGTCTGTATATACTCATACTAGTGTTCCTATTGTGCACCTCGAAGCCCTTTCTACTTGCTAAGGCCTTGTATGTCACTGTCTGTTGTTTTAATAGTTTTCGTTTTGTTGGGGGGGCCTTTTGGCTGGTGACCGGTGTTTGAGGGCTGAGGATTCTGGGTTTCGGCTCGCACACTCGAACAATCAGGCACATGTTCAGACAACGGGTCGACTCTACTAGCTTAAGATTCATGGTCTCGACTCTCACTCTGGCACAGGCAGGCAAGGCTCCCCATGTAGGATGCGGTGGATTTGGGATTTGAGGGTTTAGAGGTCTTCGGGATTACTGTTGAAGATTCCCCATTGGGATTTCGGGCTTTGCGTGAGGAGGGTCGGGCGACGGCGTACCATGGTGGTCCACTCCATATCGGGAGCACAGGTGCATCATGCCCTCAACCCTCCAAGAAAAGACACGTCCTCGAGCACGAATGTAGGGCCTAAACAATTACCTCTACTATTTTGGTGGGCGCACCCGCTTAGGGATCTACCGCCCGCACAGTAACAGTATATATATATATATATTTTTTTTTTTTTTTGAGGGGGGGGGCTCCTTATTGCAATTATAGTACCATGGGCCCCAAAGCCCTATTCTAACTATTAAGACCCCTATTATAGAACCCTATCCTAGATCCCTTATAGAAAACTGTAAGGATCCCTGTAAAGGAACCCTATGCTAATTATGAAGGCCCCTTTTGCAGCAGGCTTCTCTCGCCCGGAACTGCCGTCGCCATGAAGGCCCCTAAACCCTAAACCCTTTTAAAGGAATCCTTTAAAGGAGCCCAAGGAACCCTATTCGAATTATTAAACCCTAAACCCTAAACCCTAAACCTTAAGGCCCCTACAGTACTTCCTTAAGCCGAGGCTCTGCAGGCTCCAGCCAGAGCGCGCAGTGGCCGCCATCCACGGAGAGGAGTTGCAGGGGCCTGGAGCCGAAAAATGGGGGTTTAGGGTTTGGGTTTAGGGTTCCAGGGTTTAGGGTTTCGGGTTTCGGGTTTGGGGCTTGGGGTTTAGGGTCTAGGGTTTCGGATTTCGGATTTGGGGTTTAGGGTTTAGGGCCCATGGGGTTGAGGGTGTTACTGTTAAGTGGTACAGGATTTAAGAAATCTAGGGTTGAGGTTATAAGGGTCTTAGGGTTGAGGTTATAAGGGTCTTAGGGTTTAGGGTATAAGGGTTTCGGGTATAGGGTCTTAGGGTTTGGGGTATAAGGGTCTTAGGGTTTAAGGATGTTTTGGGTCAATAAGTTTCTTAAGAGCTCTTTCTTTGCAGGCCGCATTGCAGGCCGCACAGGTACTGAGGAAATCCCTAGCGTAGGAGTCGAGCACAGGGTTTTGGGCCTCGGGCTTCCCCGAAACCGGTCGAAACTTGTAAGCCCTAGCCCTAAAGCCCTCCCATCCCCACCCCGCAAACCCCAGAACCACAGAAAAAACTGTCATGAGGCCAGTGTTTTTTGTAACATGCTGCAGAACAGCGTCTAACTTGGGCTTAGGGCTTCGCCCTAAACACTAAACCCTAACCCCTAAATCCCAAACCCTACCCTAAACCCTAAATCCTAAACCCCAAACCCTACATGTGAGTTTGATCTGCTTCACGACCTAGGGCACAGGGATCTGGACATCGAGGCTGGGAGCCTGAGTACTTGGAAGAGGGATTGAGATAATTCCATGTAGGGGTTTCCGAAAATTGGGGTACCTCATTTTGGGGTCCTTATAATAAGGATCCTATTATTTAAAGTTCTTTATTAGGGTCCCATATTTTCGGAAACTCCCATGTAGGGGCGTTAATAACTACAAAAGGGTTCGGGGCTCCTTTATCGTATACTTACAATAAAGAACTCTAAGGGATACTGTTGGCAATAACCTATTTACGCTCCTATATTACAACTTCAATATTAATTACATAGGGGGCTCTCTAAACCCTAAACTCTAAACCCCTAAACCTGTACTGAACTTAGACCCCTAGCAAAAATTATAATCTCAGCTGCTTCTTCGGGTTTATAGTAGCCAAAGATTAGAAAATATTTCTAAGTACCAATACCCCTAAGAAACCCTAAACCCTAAACCCCTAAACCCTAAACCTCTCTCCTCCTTAGCGCATGTCGGCGGCAGAAGTCGCAGGCCTCGGTGCAGAGCTTTCTTCCGGCTCTCTCGGCTGCATCTCTCTGCAGCTTGGTCCCTAGAATGCCCATAAAAGGCCTGAGGGTCCATCTTCGGGGCCCGTACTTCTGAGCTTAAATATGTTTTGCTTTCGGTGTGAGGTTTACAGCTTTTAGTGCATTCAAGGCTTCTGGAGGTGGTGTCTCAGGTTTTTCAGAGATGTTTAGGGATCGCTGTTGAGAGTGTGGCTTGGTTTAGGGCTTAGGATGCCAGTGAGGATACCCTCACACTCGAGCCAACCAATGAGAGCCAGAGTCCGTTGATACTAAACTTCGGCTTGCAAGTAACTTTGGAATTCAACCCAAAAGGGTGAGATCTCCATAAGCCATAAACCCTCAAACCCCATAAAAGCCCTCATGCTCTCAACACGAACAGTGCCAGCCCAGTTCGGGCTCGGGCGTCGGAGATGCCCTGGCAAGGAGAAGCTTGGGTCTCTTAGGACAAACAGCCTCTCGTGCAAACCCGGTGCAGTAGACCTTAAGGAGTTTAGGATTCCGGATTTAGGATTTCGGCTCTTGTTTAGAGTCTTCGGATCTTAGGGCGTTGGGATCTCAGGCTGTAGGAGCTTGTATTTTTTCTCACTCTGGGGCTGTAGGAGTTTAGGTTTAGGGTTTAATGATTGGGGTGAGGTTCCTTGGTGTAGAACCGAAGCTAGCCCTTGCTAGGGTTATGATGCGCCGTAAATTTTTACCAGGATTCCCGACGAAATATCGAATTCTCTTTCGAGCTGCTGCCCCGAAGTCAAAGTCTGCACCCGAGTCTTTCGCGAGCCCCTAAACCAGAGAGCCATGAACCCCTCGCCCGGTGCCTGTGGATCCACAGAGCCCGGTCTCAAGGCGGCGGGCGGAGGCCAAAGCTGCCTGCCCACGCGCTGAAATGCTGCAGGAACTTCGAGCTTATTGTTGAGCTGTAATTAAGTTAATCTACGCTGACATAAGGGGTCTATCTATCTATCTATCTATCTATCTATCTATCTATCTATGTATCTACCTATCTATGTATCTATCTATCTATCTATCTATCTATCTATCTATCTATATAATAATAATAATAATAATATAATGATAATAATAATAATAGTAATAATAATAATAACAATAATAATAATAATAATTATTATTATTATTATTATGAAAAACTAGATGAATGAACACATCATAAACAGATTGAAATATATAATATACATATACACACATCTACATTGTCATATCATATATATATATATATATATTTATTTATTTATGTGTATGTATCTGGGCTACTACAGGCGAATTGCCAGGGTTGGCAGATGCAAGTTGATTACAATTGGCATCCTGACCATAACGGACCATTCCAGTGAAGGCATGATACTAAGCCGAGGGTTAGGAGGTAGTGAGGATGACGATGGCGACGAAGATGATAAGGAAAATGGATACAGGGTTTGGTACCAGGACTCATTCTTATGACTCCGTAGCTGTTCTTCAGCCACCGGCACACGTGCACGCACATACATGCATACATACATACCTACATACATACATACATACATACATCCATACATACATACATCCATACATACATACATACATACATACATACAGACATTACATACAAACATTACATACAAACATACATACATACATACATACATACATACATACATACATACATTACATTACATACAGACAGACAGACAGACAGACAGACAGACAGACAGACAGACAGACAGACAGACAGACATACACATGCACTCATACACACACAGGGACAGGCTCTGCACAAGTTTCAATGAACAACATTGTCCCCTGCCCCGATTGAGTTCTCACCGACGGTCCTCAGCTGCTCGTAGGTTTCCACACCTGCAACCGAATACGTACGGAGTACTTACATCCCGAAACGACTCCGCAAGACACCTCCTGGGCAATAAGACAGATGCCTCTTGTCATGTGCTAAATTTTGAAAGGCCACGCGGGGAGAGTAGAAATGTCTTTGATGAATAAAGTCTCCGATGGAGTTCCGGATGCTCATCCAACTTGCACTCAAGGGACCTTTAGGGAGAGCCGCGTGCCCTTTAGGAACATGCCTGGGCCTTCTACCTGCTTGAAGGGAGGACAAAAGGTTTACAGTTCCAAGCATATGCCTCCACGCCAAGCCTCTGAGCCTGTGAGGGGTTGGCTGGGGGCGGGCGATGGTTGGGAACGGAGCTTCTGGCATCACAGCCTTCGAGGCGAACGCGAAGCTGGAGTCTTGCTTCTAAATCAGGGCTTTAGGTTCAGCCTGCGGATTCCGAATTTGGGCTTTGCTCTGGATCCAAGGTATGCGGTGATTTTGTGGGGCATAGGGTAGGGCGGAGGTTGCACCCAAAATCATCGGCATGTGTATCCGACCGGCGGTTGACCTACGGCTGCAAGGCAGCAGAATGAAGGGTTCAGGAACCGTCGTTGGCACAACGACCCCACTATGTGCCCCTGAGTGGTGCATCACCGAAGATCTAAACTTGCACGCGCCTTTTTCTGCCCAGGAGAAATCTCGGGCAGAGCGCCTTTGGCTCGCGGCCATCATGTAGCTAGCAGGGGCAATACATTCGTGGAGGTTTTGCACTGGTGTGCCAAGCTGAGCGGACATCGGCAAGCCACACTGCAGATGCTGGCGCTGAGCACAGCAGCCTCACAAGGCACAGCAAGGCCGTAAGGCGGCGTTGTTCTTCGCTGAAGACCGTCGGTGCCTGAAAAAGCACGTCGTCAAGTCAGGTCAGGTCATCATCTTGATTGCAGGACGCCAAGGAGCCAGAAACCTTTTTGAAGGGATGCTCGAGCGAGGTATCGAAGACGGGAGTCGGAGTCGGACATTAGGTCATTAGTCTGTCTCGCCCCTGCACTCCACCATCTTTTCAGCCCTCTGCCACGTCAGCTTCCAGCAGAGGCATGCTTGCAGCTTGCAGGAGGCAGAATGTATCACCGGATCCGGGGGTCCCCAGAAGCAGCGGAACTGAACTGAAGCTTTCTAAGTCCTGAACGGTAAAACCCCAAATCCTAAATCTCATCCGGACATTTCCAGTTCTCCATCTCCAAGAGATCCTCGGCGGAGCCCTTCAGCAGCTCGAAGCGAGAGAGCCGCTCCGCCAGTTTGGTATACTCCGTGCGGAAGAGGCGTCGGAGAAACTGCCGCAAAGCTGTGAGGTCCGGCCTGGATGGGAGCTTCTTTTTGTTGCCTACAGTTACAGTAGTTCGTGACCATTCATCTTAGGGCTCTGTTATCTTCTCAGAAAGCTGCTACCATTTTGGACGTCGCTAAGGTGACTCTTACGGGTCGAACCAGCACATTAGGATGTCAGGGTTGTGTAGGCAGTGTAACCACCGGGAGCCATGTCCGTCGTGGACATCTTATTCGGAACCTTATGTCATCGAAAGTCCTTAAACCCGCAACCCCAAAAAACGTAAAAAACCTAAAAACCCTAAACCCTGAAAACCCTGAACCCCAAAAACCCTAAGCCCCAGCCCTGAGAACCCCTTCTTCGACCCTCTGCCTGGCAAGGGCTGACAAAAGATGTCCTAGGCCCCGAGTCCTGAAACGCCCGGAGCCAAGCCCAGGTTCTATGCAAGCATGTACAGGTATGTACGCATGCGCACAGCATGTGCGTATGACGTGTATAAACCTAAACAGATAAATAGATCGACTGATAAATAGAAAGCTAGCTAGCTTGCTAGACCAGACAGATTATTTAGATTGGCCGATTAGAAAGATTAAACAGATTAGATAGGTTAGACAGGTTAGATAGATTCGATAGGTTAGACAAGACTAGATAGATAGATAGATAGAATAGAATAGAATAGAATAGAATAGAATAGATAGATAGATAGATAGATAGACAGATAGGTAGATAGACAGATAGACAGATAGACAGATAGATAGACACATAGGTAGATAAATATATAGATAAATAGGCTAAATAGATACGAGTAGATGGATAGATGGATAGATGGATAGATGTATAGATGGATAGATGGATCGATGGATAGATGGATAAAGGCTAGACAGACAGATAGATAGATAGATAGATACATAATAGGTGAGTGGAGGTGGGAGGTAGATAGGTAGGTCGGTAGGTAAGTAGGTAGGTGGGTGGGTAGGCAGGTAGGCAGGTCGGTATTGTCGGGAGGTTCGGAGGTCGCTGGGTGGGTCGGCAGGTCGGTCGGTCGGTCGGGTATGTGGGTAGCTCAGTGGTCGGTAGGTAGGCAGGTGGGTAGGTGGGTAGGTAGGTGGGTAGGTGGGTGGGTAGGTGGGTAGGCGGGTGGGTAGGTGGGTAGGTGGATGAGTAGGTAGGCAAGTAGGCAGGTGTAGACAGGTCGGTGGGTAGGGGCAGGCAGCAGGCACAAGTAGGTAGGTAGGCAGTCAGGTAATGCAGGCAGGCAGGCAGGCAGGCAGGCAGGCAGGCAGGCGGGCAGGCAGGCAGGGAGGCAGGCAGGTAGGTAGGTAGGTAGGTAGGTAGGTAGGTAGGTAGGTAAGTAGGTGGGTAGTACGCATGTATCTATGTAGGTAGACAGGCAGGCAGGCAGGTAGGTTTAGATATCTAGAGCGGTACACGTGCACACACACACACACACATATATATATATATATAATGTGTATATATGTGTGTGTGTATGTATGTATGTATGTATGTATGTATGTATGTATGTATGTATGTATGGATGGATGTATGTATGTATGGATGTATGTATGCATGCATGCATGCATGTATGTATGTATGTATGTCTGTAGGTAGTATGTATGTATGTATGTATGTATGTATGTATGTATGTATGTATGTGTGTATGTATGTATGTATGTATGTATGTATGTATGTATGTATGTATGTAGGTAGTATGTAGGTATGTAGGTATGTATGTATGTATGTATGTATGTATGTATGAGTGTGTAGATGCATGCACACGAATACTTGCACCACCCCGCGAAAAGTATGCTATCTTGTGACGCCGCGCGACCTGCAGAGCGCCTGCCTCTCATGGCGCCCCTCCTTGGCGCGGTTCCATGACCGCAGCAGCAGGGAGGGATCCTTCGGTTGAAGCCGGCTTAGGATCGTTTAGGAGCTTGGAGTTTGGGGATTTAGGGGAGTCGGGCGCAGGGTGTTGATTTTGGGGATCAAGGATTCGGCATGTAGGGTTTTGCTGCGATTTTGCGAGGTGGGGGGGGGGGCCTGTGCCTTATACGAGTGAGACGTTAAGGGGTTGTTGAGGTGTAATCGTGCAATTCCGACTGTTACAGCTAACGATGGTCTCACCACCTTCACAACCCAGTCCGGGGAGTGGTAAGCTATTACGTACAACAATAAGCCAAGATTGGTACCCCGTCGCTTTAAACCCTGTTGCACCCTAACCCCAAACCTGGTTCCCTGTTTGGGCTATTTTAAACATGATGATTTCTAATCCTTATTGGGTTTTATTACAACAAAAATTCAAAGTCGTAGTTAACTAGGACCCAGAAACCCTAAACATGGAAGGAGCCTGGGCCTACAACATCCCTTGTCCATGCGACGACAGTCAGAAGTGTGGCGTCTGCAACCAGCTCGAGGGCATAGGCTACAAGCATCTGTCGAACCTTCCACCCTGGCCTGAAGAAACGCAACGATCCTGGCTTCGGAGCTTTCGAAATAGGGCAACACGAGATTTCGATAGACTCGCCACCTTAAGCTGACCTTGAACCTTAAGCCGGAGCCTCAAGAAGCGAACCTACACCCCAAATCCTAGAACCTCAACCCCCCATTGCCACATGAAGACAGCGAGCAAGGATATAAGTCTAACCATCTAAGGCAATCAAAGACGAACATCGATCCTCTTAACTCTCAACCCGGATCTCACCGCACAACCCAATCTCGATCATAAACTTAACACCCTGACCTCAAACTCTAAACCCTAAATCCCGCTTAAACCCCCAACTCAAGCCCAAGCTCCCCGAGTCCTAGCTGCAACTCGATCCTGTTTTGTTTTCCTTGCAAGCTCCGACATGCGGAAACCCGATAGCCAACATCCCTCAACCCTCAACCCCTAAACCCTACGACCC